AGACTAATAAATTCAGAAAGGTCTATATAATCCCTCTAAAAATAACAGGGTGTAGTTGATGTATCTGCTGTGGCAGATGGGTCTGAGGGACCTATGTGCTTGTGGTTCACAGCTCTGAAAATGCAGTTGGGTTCACAGAAATTCTTAATAATGCTGCTGAAATGTATTGATATGAAAAGGGGATATCCATGAGAGTGGTAGGTAAGCATTAACTTCTTACTTTTTCACCATCATTTTTGCTCACTTTGATTTCTTTGCTGCTTATTTGTTCCCCCCAGAACTTTCCACATAGAAATTTAAATTTCAAGTGTCATTACTTCACTGAAACTAATTTGTCCTTATTATTCCTCATTACCTTTTATCTTGTAATTGCACTTTAGAGCATCATACATTGCATGCTGCATATTACATTGCTCTATGTGTGCTTTACCAGTCCTGATTTTTTTTAATAAGCAACATGGTCAATATATACAAACGGTAAGCACCAACCTGATTTGCTATCTGCTGTAATTGGATTCTGCCTTTAATTACAGGTGGTAATGACATTTTAAGCACCTTATACAGGTGTTGGGAGGGTGGGGGTTATGAAATGTTAAGCAACATTAAGAAAGTCTAAGCTTCTGGAGCACTGCCAAATTTCAGAGGTGCCTTTCAACTCCAAATTACGATTTTCATGTGAGGATAATTATAGCTCTGGCCACCTGGACTGCTCCTATTGGAGTCAGGCAGAGCAGAGGGGTAAGCCTGTCTGCAAGCCACACTTCACATCTTCTCTCTTTATACTTGTTTTCATTTAAAATTATTCCAAATATGTTATGGCTTGTATTCCAATCACTAAAAACACTACATGGCCATCTTTTTGTGTGTGTTTGCTGGCCAAAACCAGTGGCAGAATATATTGCTATGCATTGGCAGCATAGCTGAGATTGAGTGACCTTGGAAAAGATATTTGAATTATGCTGATGGCCTTCTTGATCTTGGGGGAGTTTTAATTCACATCTATAATTCCAGCCTGAGAAAATTAGATGAAGATTTGTTTTGGAACTAATGGGAAAATATATGGCCAGCAAAAGAAGTTGCTTCTCCTTCATCACTCATGTAACTTCTCCTGGCAAAGAACTTTTTCCTAACAATGGCACTTAAAACTCAGCATTTCCAAAATCAACATAGATCCTTCTGTTTCTTCGAAAGTGAAAGAGGCAGCACTTTTCTATATCCTGCAGAAACCTAATTCAATACTTAATTTCTCCTCCTTTTCTTCCCTTCCTACAGAACCTCTGCTTATTAGTTACAAAGCCCAAAGGCTTATCCTGCCTGTGCTTGCACAGTGCTGACTGCCTTCGTGCTGCCAGGCAGGTCAGGATGCCTGAGCTGCCAGTGAGGGGACTCAAGCTGTTCTGCTTGGAACATGCAGCTTTATTTCTGAAATTGATCTTAATTCTTCATCTCTAGTAGCCTTTTCTGGTGTGAAATCCTGGCATTAATGACGTCAACAGGACTTCAGTTCTGAGGGCTTCCAGTCTTTTGAGCTGCCACTTAAGAGGTGCATTACTGTGTGATAGTGATGTGCTTTTCCCTTGAAAGAGGTGTCCCATCACATGCATACCTTGAGGGCATGTCTGTCAACAGCCCTGGGGGTGTTTAGCCTGGAGAAAAGGAGGCTCAGGGGAGAACCTTGTAACACTCTAAAACTACCTGAAAGGATTTTGTAGCCAGATGGGTGTTGGTCTTTTCTCTCAAGTAACAAGCAGTAAGACAAGAGGAAATGGCCTCAAGTTGCACAGAGAGGTTTAAACTGGATATTAGAAGAAATTTCTTCACTGAAAGGGTGGTCAGGCACTGCAACAGGTTGTCCAAAGAAGTGGTGGAATCACCATCCCTGGAAGTGTTCAAAAAACATCTAGATTTTTTTTTGGCCATCTTGTCTAGACAAAGCTTTTTCCAAGAGAGGATCCTTGGAGCCCCTTCCAACCTCGTACTCCATGATCCTATGATTCACTTTTTTTAGATCAAAAAACACCTGGGGACATGGTTTAGTGGTGAAGATGGCAGTGCTGTGTTAATGGTTGGACTCAACAATCTCCCAGGTCTTTTCCAAACTAAATGATTCTGTTTTTCTATGCTGTCCATGTAGAATATTTATGCCTATAAAATGTAAAACAAGCAAATATCGTTAAATATATTGTGAATGAAATTCAAAAATCCAGAACAGCTAAAGGTGAAGCTCACACTAAAGCTTATCTTGCTTGTGTGTACCAAATTATCTATCTGACCTTTTCTAAGTATTATAATGTCAGAATGACTGGCATACCAGAACTAAGATTTTATTTCTCCTTGTAGGGGATCTGACCTCTGTCTGGATGTGCAGATCTGCTTTACATTGCATTTACAAGATCAGGTAATTTTATATATATACACTCTGTATTTTTGTATATAAAGGAAAAACATTCTAGATCACTCATGAATTAATTCATAAATAGTCTGTAGTACATGGAGTTCATTGCAGTTCATCACACTGATTCACTCTACGCTTTGACAGTACTTTTCCCTCTCCATCATTAAAGGTGAAGACAACATTTGTGTGAAGTCTTCTCTTAGCTCCTCTACAGTTACAGCAAAGATAAAGGAGAAGGGTCTGCAAATTGTTTATGCCATTACCTTGAGTTTGCTGCAATTTTTTCCGATTTTTTTCTCAATTTTGCTCAAAGTCAACTCGAATTTTAAATACTTCTCCATCCTGGTATCTTTGCACCAATAACAAAAGGATGAACTGACCCAGAGTCCTGCTTTCTGCTGACTCTGATGTGGAGCCTCCCAGTGTGGTTTTCTGAGCTACTGCCCTCCCAGCACCTACTGGTGTTTCACCAGTCTAGTGTTAGTTTGTGTTAGGAAAACTGCTGAAGCTATAAATGTGGGTTTTTTTTTTGTCATGACACTAACAAGCTCAGCCCCAGCAAATGGAGCAGTATAAACATTAAGGAAAATTTGTACTTTCCTAATTGCAGCAGTGCATCTCCTTTGCAGATCCAACACCAAGCTTCCTTCCCCCAGGGACCAGACTAAGTAAGAGGATGCTCATGCTGAAAACTCAGCCCCTCTGAGCAGCTCTCACCCAATGGAGACCCTGTGGAAGCCCAGGAGCAGTGGAGCAGATTTCCAGGTCAGTGGCACTGGAGGGAGCAGGAGTCTGCCTGGGGGTGTCAGGAATAATTTGATGTACTGTGAGATCTCATGAACGAGACTCAAAAGAGAAGTGATTTAAAGTGAAGACAACTACCACATTTGCTGAAACTGGAGAAAAGTGAATCATAGGATCATGGAGTACGAGGTTGGAAGGGGCTCCAAGGATCCTCTCTTGGAAAAAGCTTTGTCTAGACAAGATGGCCAAGCATCCTGTCCAGCTGAATCTTAAAAGTGTGCAAAGCAAAGTCAGCAAGAGACAGAAAAAGCAGACAGACTAGGGAATAGTAGTGGCTTATGGGGTGTTTGCCTCAGCTGATGTGTGTTTGTTTTCCAGTTCTCACTTCCCTGTGCAATCTCAGGCTGTGCTCTGCACTCTGTCTTTGTTTATATTTGGTGTCACAGCAAGAAGACAAAGTGCCATTAGCTTTTACTTGAAGGGTCATATTGAAACGATTTTACTCTAATCTGAGAGATTTCAGCCATAGCAAAACAAAATTTAAAAATCTGGCCTAAGCAAGCCCCTTAACCTGTCTGTAACACAGAGAAATGAAGTTAAACATCGAATTGTGTGTTGGACAATTACTTAAAAATTGCTCAACTCTCTTTTTAGTCCTCTAGAACAACTGTCGTGTCAGTTGTTCTCTATGTGAAAGAGAATGAATTCCTCCATATTTAGGAAGTTATTATGCAAATTTTAGCTTGCCATTAACAAAAAAACCCAAATGTCAGGATATATTTTAACCTCTTTAAACCCATGCACTGAAGACATGTTTATTGAGAAGTACATGGGTAATCCCATCCCAGCTAGAAAATGCATTGGTGTATCAGATGTACTGTTGAGCTTCCAGAGCTGGATGGAAATTTGGATGTCTCATCTAAGCCATGGTGACTGACCCTAGATAAGAGTTTTACCTGTCCTAAATGCAGAACAATGTCCTACACATTGCAGGAAAAGGCTTTCCCTCACATTTGGGATGGGTTAAGAGAGCACACCTTGTCATTTCAGTTTAGCTGAAACACTATGACTCCTTAAGCTGCAGGAGCTCAACAGTACAGCTGAGCCTTAAGTACCTCTTTGTAACTTCAAGCACAAGCTTCTGTGGTTTGCTGAGGTAGGGTTTGCACTTTGAAATCAGCTCTAACATTTCTGTGTGTGCTTAGTTTAAAGCCCTGTCCGTACTCACATTGGATTTGGCCCATTGAAGGCTGAGCTGTAATGAAGAAAAAAACCCAGTGGGATAGTCTCCTGTGTAAATGTAATTCATAAATATTTGCAGAATCAGGTCTGCAGTTTAGAGCATGTCCTGTAGCTATTTTATGGCTTTTACAGTGTTACCTCTTCATTTTGTCACTTTTAATTTTATTTTCTTACTAGTAGAGTGTTTGAAATTAATGTTCAAACTTTATTTGCTGTTGTTCAGGTAAAAAAAAAAAAGAGAAGTACCTATACACTGTTAACATGAATATTGACCACAAGGTGAGCAGGATGTCTTTTTTTTTTTTTTTGTGTCAGAAGCTTGCTTGTCAGCATGCCTGTGATAGATCAGATGTAAAGAAAATCACTTCTGCAAAACCAATTTGCTAAGGGGCTTGTAAAATCCATTTTTAAAAAGTTACTGAGGCAAAAAAAGTGAAGGACCAGCCAACCAGATATTTTGATCGGCTTTTCAAGGTCAAAACCTGATTACTAATTCATCAAATACCTTAGTGGTAACACTGTTTGAAGAGCAAACAACTCCGTGCAGATGTTCTACCTAATAATTCTAATATCATGGAAAGATGGGTAGGGTAGGAACAAACAGAATTTTTTTACTTACTTTTGGCAATGCTACAATCGTAGGAGCTGTGGCCTTCAAAGCACTGGCAGCCCAGTTCTGTGCAGTGTCCATTGCTGTTACAGAAATCAGGACACCGGAGAGCAGTGAGGATTTCCTCCCAGGTAGCAGATGGCTGGTTTCCAACGCCAAACAATCTGTTTCTGTTTCCTAGCACTCTCCTTTCACATTCATTTTCCAAAAGGGCTATCAGTGCCCTCACCCAAGCCACGTCATCTTTGAGCTGCAGATCTGAAAGGCATATATCAATTGCCTCATCCAGCTGTTTTCCAAGGAGGCCTTTACACACCAAGCCAATGGTGGAATTTGCAAGAATTTGGTGGCAAATCTCCCGAGCTTTGGCAGCAGTTAGGCCATTGGGAGTGGGCCACGTCAGTGGAAATTTCATCCGAATCCCTTCAAAGTAATCCTCAGGGAAAAAATATTCAAAGCTCTCTGAGTCTCTCTGGGTTGAGCTATGAAGTGGGTGAAGGGATGAGTATTCATAGTAGCTGTCTTGCCTTTTCGCTTTCCTTAGGGTTTCTGTTGGTTTGGTAGAGTTAATGGAACTGTTGCTGTGCATGGAAATATTATGCCTGAGGGGCTTTAATCGGACCTCAGGGCTAGCTCGTTTTTGGACTGATTTAGGCAGATGTCGTTGCTCAAAAGGCTTGGTCAAGGGTTTCTCATATTTTCTTAAAGTAGACTCTGTTTCTGACTGAGCAACAAACTCAGATGTAACATCCAGATATGGAATTGCAGAGGTGTAATCCACATGATCATCGTGGCAACCAGAGGACTGAGGGAAAGGAGTCTGAAAGTCTGTGTTTACCATAGCCATGGACTTAGTGTTCCCCTTCTGACATCTGCAGTAATTTTTTCTTTCCTTTGCCTCAGAAGGTGCTGAAGTCTTCTTGTCAAATAAACTCTTCCCTGGGGGTATTCTGATTTAAAAATAGAAAGGGATTAGAGGGAGAAAACTTTCAACAAATTAGTCTATAATACCAAGTAAACTTTCTTTCCCTGAGGCTGGAGTATGTATAAATTCTCAATCTACAAAAGTACTTCAGAAAATGCTTAAATTTAATCTCTGTTTTCTTTAGTCACTTTTGCACTGCCCTTCTTGAGTTGTCCTGTACATTTTTTAGCACTACATGGG